TTTCTTAGTTATATAATTATATATACTTTTATCTTCCAGGTACAATAATTTTCAGAATATGTTGAATGATTGTCATTCCCTAGAGATAGTTAGTGGAAATGGGGTGAATTATTCAGAGCTGGATTTAGCCAATTCCATAATTTTATACCCTTTGATAAATGTTTTTAAATAAAAATCCTTTTATCCCATTCTTTTCATTCTTACCATGAAAATATAAAAACTGTTCCTATTTTGCAATTCGGGCCTCTCCTCCCACAAAACTACCTCAAAAGGTGAATAAACTCTAACTGCTGGGATAGCCTAGTAGAGGTTCCAGCAGAGGAGTGGTGAAAACAATGCTTGTCTGGGAATGGGCCGATCGGCCTCTCACCCCAGGACAGGCTCTCAGAAACCTCATGTAGCTGAATCTGCCTCAGACATAATCAGCTACAACCTCTTTAGCTGAGGTATTCTAAGGAATGCCCCAGCGTGAGAAGGGATTCAGAGACATTTTTTTCCCACAGCCTGTGAACTATACTACATGATTTCACTATCAGGACAGGAAAGGCTACATTAGGTCAGTTAGATACACAAGTTTGAGAATGTACTAGTGGTTCAAGTATCTTGCGCGTTTTATTTTTGGCACACAGAAATGAGGAGGCTTCATAAGGGAAAGGTTGCCATTTCTCTCAGTCTCTTCCTGAATGTGGCCTGGCTCCCTAGGGCTGAGGGGATTAGGTGTGAAGTGGGGACAGTTGTAAATTTGGGTTCAAAATTAACTGAAGAGCTATAGGTCTCATTTGATTCTGCTTGATCTTCCTGGATGTCTCAGCAGTCTGGGGGCAAAATTGGAATCTGTGGTGATTGCAGGAGAATCTTCTCTCCAGGACCAAATTTACGTTAACCCTTTAAGAAGAAAAATAATCCCAAAGGCCTTTGATCTCTTTGTGTATATAATCATACCCATCATGAAATTAAAAAAAAAAAAACAACTTGAATATTAAGAGTTCAGTGACCCTAAACTTTGCTGATGTGCACAGCTGACAGAGTTCAAGCAAAACAACTAACTGTCGAATAAAGGCCTCTGCACAAATGACCTTAGCATAGTCTTGACCCCTGTTTCTCTAGAAAAAAGACAGAAATGATTAAAACTCTACTCCAACTATTAACATTTCATCATGAGCTTTCTTCTCTGACATATGGGAAGTATCATTTATGAAAAGATGCCAGTTCATAAGGAATGAGATAGATTATGGAATATTAAAGATGATAAAACTATGTCTGGTATTAATTGAAACATTTTTGAGCTACATTTCATCTCCAAAGAAATAACTCCTTTCTGTAGCTTCTAGAGTTGCAGTTCACTTTTGTTACATTTATGATAACACACACACACATACACACAAACACACACACGCACACAGACAATATTTATTTAAGTGATGAAAACGGAAAATTTGGTAACGGGTGTTTGAAAGACGTTTCCAATAAAAAATTTAAATTTCTTAGATATTTCTTAGGTATTTTGGAGAAAATCAATCACATGATAAATTGTTTCACATTGGAATAACATAATGGTTGTTAACTTGCAACTACTTCTGTCAGAAATTAAATGATAAAAATTTCCCACTGGAATTTTTCTGTTGCCAGAAAGGATTCCTTATTTTCTATTTGTGAAAAGCAACTCTTTTTGAAATCTAGAGTAAAATTTGGAATAAAGCCCTTTAGAGAGTGAATAGACTAAATGTTATTTGGAATAAATATAGTTGTTGTTCTTGGAATATTAAAACATATTTTTCAATATTCCTGGGCACCTAAAGTAGTTTTTCTCAGACTATAGATCATTATCATCATCAATTGAGACATAAAGGGAAAAAAATACAAGGGACAAATAGGCGGCTTATTATTTTTTGTGTCCTTAACAGTTTTTTTGGCAGAATTGACTCTTGTTAGGCTTCTTGAATGGCTTCTCTTTTTTGGAGGCATTCATTACATGGTTTTAATTTTACTTATAAAATTTTGTTACTTAGTTGGTTTTAGGAATTTATTTGCTCTAACTATTCTTAGTACATGAGAATTGTTTGTGGCTCTTTAGAAGATAATGCATAGAAAAATAATTCTGATATGCTCTCTGGTGTGTATGTGTGTATGTATATATGTATGTATGTATGTATGTGTGTATGTTTGTTATGTGTGCATGTTTGTGTGTATGTGTGTATTGCATGTGTGCACCGTTTCCATAGGCTAAATCCTCAAAGTGGAAAATTTTATTTTTATTTATTGACGTTTAATGTCTGCCATGTGGATGGGCACATCTTCTGAATTATGAACTTTTTGTGTGTCAGTTAAAAATATTTATCTAAGATTATAAAGCTTTTTCTCAAATGCTCCAATATGTAGGCTTTGTACATAGCTAGTTAATCATCTGAAAATCTAGTCAGGAAGGTCATCTATCATAAACTCTGCTCGTGGGCCTGAATATGAAATTTGTCTCTCCATCTGGCACTCCCTTGCCCTCAGATTCAGGTAGCATTGTACATTTTCAATCAGCCTCTTGAAGGGAGCAGGGCTGTGGTGCCTATATTTAGAGCTGAAGACTTGGTTTTGAGAATCGCATCACATTTTTATTACATGTTTTAGAAGACTCATCTGTGTTGTCATTTAATCTCTTTTAATTTCTCCACAAACCGTGAATAATGATAATCCACTGCACATAATTTTAGAAAGAATAAATAATAAAAAGGTAAAACTATTAAAAAAAGTAAAACTATAAAGTCTTATAAAGTTCTCAAGAAATGCTAGGTATTATTTTTTGTTTTGAAATTTAAAGTTACGCATTCCACTTGCCCTGGTCTTCAGTTCTTATTCACTCAGCAGAAACATACTGAACCTCTGCTAAGTGTCAGATCCTTAGTAGGTACTGGGATTTGGTGTTCACTTCCTACCTGGAGCTAAAAGTCCGGTGGGAAATCTGACTTTAAAGAAATACATTATTAAGTATGTAATCATGCCTGCTGATAAAAGCTGAGGTGGAAGAATGCTTATTTCTAGGAGAGAGTGTAATGGAGATTTAATTTAGATTGCAGGTCCAAGAAGCTGTGTTTGAAGAATCGATACCCCATTTGATGTTGGATTATAAGGAAAAGCTAGGCAGGTGAAGAGGGGATCGAATTCCAGCAAGGATGTTGCATGTACTGTAACTCTGAGGTGGAAAACGAGTCTAGAGTGCTGAAGGAATTAAGTGATGGTCAGTGCGGCTAAGGGGTAGTGAATTGAGGGTGGGGCAAATCATGAAGGATGAGGCTGGAAGAGGCATGGGCTAGATCATATTAAAGATGTGGGTCTTATTGCAGATTTGGTTGAGTGGCATGAGCTGATTTATGTTTTAAAGAGTATAAACCTAAAATAATAAGCCATATCATCAGCCACACCTGTAATACCTTTTTCAGTAGCTTGATGGCTCTTGTAAAAATGTAGATACTTGGACGTGGTTCCATAGCGTAGTGGTTAGCACGTCTGCTCTACACACAGAAGGTCCTGGGTTCACAAACCACTGGAGCCACGGTCCATGGTCTATGGCCATGCCACCCGGAACAAGCCTCTAATCTCGGAAGCTAAGCAGGGTTAGGCCTGATTAGTACTTGGATGGGAGACCACCTAGGTGCTGTAGGCATAAATAATAATAAATAATAATAATAAAATGTAGATACTTATCATAAACATTCAAACAATTTCCAAAGGAAGACAAAATTCATTTCAAATCTCTTAAGTCAGAGAGAGTCGCTCTTAACATTTAGGTGTATTTTCTTTTACATGGTATGCGCACATCATTACAATTTTATATCCAGATGATCAAACTGTATTGCTTTTTTCCTCCAATGACACTCGATAACATATAGTGGTCATCTTTTCATGTCAACAGTGATGTACATCTGTATACTTGATGATGCTTAGTTGTCCTTTGTAGTCAATTACACTAATTAGGTTAATTCTCTATTGATGACTTTTAGCTGATTCCGATTTTTTGCCAACATAATGATGTGATGGGCTCTTGTACATGGGTATATTTCATGTATATGATTATCTCATTAAAGCAAATGTTGAACTGGGAAAATGCTGGATTAAAGAACATGTACATTTTACAATTTCAGGCATATTGTCAATCATCTGGAATTTACTTTAGAGAAACATGTGAAGAAGAATTAGAACTTTTTTTCTTAAGCGAATAGCCAGTTAACTTATTCAAAGAAAAAAGAGGATGGGATTTTAAAGCAACTGAAACACCAGTTTTATTCTTTGCAAACTTAAGGCTGGTTTCCTCTCACTTCTTTGTTTTCTTTGTATATGAGTCAGTTTCTCTTAGTGGACCGGAAAGTATTTGTAGTAATAGAAATATTTGCCTTGGGCCACACCAAACTCATTCCCAGTTGGGCTACTTACTAGCTATAGGACCAAAGACGATGGGCTGTTACAGTGGCTATAATTTATCTTTAAAATACTTTAATATGGACGATATCATGTGTGAATGAGTGGACATAAATTAGTTTTAATTCATGACTAGTTAATATTTAAAGTATCTTAATCCAGAGTACACACCAGGGAGGTGCTTAGTTAGTGTTGGAAAAACTCTAATTGGGACTTTACTTTCTAAAGGCTTTGGATATAAACTTTTTTTAACTATTACTATCTTAATCTATATTAAAGGGTTTTCAATTAACATAAGAGATTATATTTTATGGGTGAAATGTACAGTGTACCAGATATGTGTGTCAGTTAGAAACACTGTGTAGGTCCATGGCACCTCCACCTTCACGGCAAAATTAGAGGCACACTGGCTCCTACTCTTTGCTGTACCTTCTATTGTTCAAACCTTGCGTACCTAATTCAAACAGAAGTTCAACTTCTATGGACTGCCTCACCGCTTGCCTCAAGTGGCTTTTTCATTCAAAGTCCTCTTTGGTCTAAGTGTAACTGAGTCCAAGCTTGTAACAGCCAGTAAGTCGAAGCAAAATGGCAAAGCGTTGAGGCAAGAAAAGCAACTTTATTCCAAAAGCCAGCAAGCCGAGATGATGGCGGACTGGCATCCTAAAGAACCATCTTAAGTACAGAATTCAGGCTTCTTTTATATCAGGGAAGGGGAAAACAGGAGGAGCAAGAAGTGATTGACGGCTGCAGACATCTGGGTGCCACCAGGGGTCTGAGAAAGATTGTGAAACTTCTTTGTTCTTAGTCTGTTGATGTGGGTCCTGTCACAAGGTTCCTGCAAATATTTGGTAAACAATCATTATTTTTGTACATAATTCCCTCATCTTTTCGGGAGAGTTACTTTCTAGTAAGGGGCTTTTTTTGTAAAACTCAAGCCACAAGCGGAATTCCTCTAATAATTAGTGTGTCTATATGCAAGGCTAAATAAGAGATTCTAGTTGATGTGAGTCCTGTCACAAGGTTCCTGCAAATATTTGGTAAACAATCATTATTTTTGTACATAATTCCCTCATCTTTTCGGGAGAGTTACTTTCTAGTAAGGGGCTTTTTTTGTAAAACTCAAGCCACAAGCGGAATTCCTCTAATAATTAGTGTGTCTATATGCAAGGCTAAATAAGAGATATTAACCTGAAGGCCATGAGAACAAAGCAGGCTTGAACAAGATGGAGTCAGAGACCAAGCATTTCGCTTTGTTACATAAGGGGCACAGAGCTGGGATGGGAGAGTTACTTTCTGGTAAGGGGCTGTTTTTGTAAAACTCAAGCCACAAGCGGAATTCCTCTAATAATTAGTGTGTCTATATGCAAGGCTAAATAAGAGATATTAACCTGAAGGCCATGAGAACAAAGCAGGCTTAAACAAGATGGAGTCAGAGACCAAGCATTTCGCTTTGTTACATAAGGGGCACAGAGCTGGGACAAGACCAAGTCTCCAAGGACGAATTTTATAATAGTTTCTGTACCTACTATTTAATAACTATTTGGAAGTACTGTTGAATTTGGACTTGCTTTTTTTGTAGCGTACAGTATATTTCGTATAACATAGAACAAGAATGTGGGGAAGAAGGCCCACAGTCTTCCAGAGATCCACCAGAAAGAATTTGCTAGTTGTGCAGGTTAGTTCGTAATACTAGGAAGGTCTCGGAGGTCACTTTCCCCCTCTTTTTATAAAAATGTTCAGCCTGGAAACTTTCAGTGACTCATAACTGCTGGGCCCCCTTGGGCAGCTTCTGAGCTGAACTGAGGTTTGTCACAAAACTTTCCCCATGCTGCTACCTTTTTGAAAATAAAAAGCCCATACCAAAAATAATGGCAGGTAGTACAACTATTACTACAGTTTTTTTTTTTTTTTTTTTTTTAGGAGGGTCGGGGGATGAGGAGATTGTCAAATCACAATGCTTAAGAAAAATCCCCTTTAAACTGCTTTGTTCTCTCTCCCCAGTCTCATCTCCTACCCCCATGCTGCCTCAGGTTTTCCATTTACTGTTTTTTTCTTTCCATTTTCCCACTTTTATAAGCCTTCTAAAATCCCGTTTATTTATGGTCCACACTCTTACAGCAAATCAAAATTGTTGCTCATATATGCCCGTTGGCACTATAGAGCTTTTTTTGTTTTAAAGGAGGCTGCTGGATCCATTGCCTTTATAAACCCTCAGGCAAAAGTTTCAGAAGGATGGTGCCTTAGTCACCCAGGGCACCTTTTTCTCAGATGGCTGCTTCATGGCTGCTGGCCCACCACGGCGCACACTTACTTTACCTCCACACATCTTCCGGCAACTGCTGGCAGGGTCGAAACAGATGAAGAAAATTTGTACTGCAGGGGTGTGTCCCAGGGAGAGGGAGTATTAATTTCCAGAGCACATTTGAGTCTGCATTCCATTTCCTTTGGCATGGTGTCAGCAAACAATACGAAGTTTGAAAAAGACATTTTGGATAGTGTTTACAGGGCCCTTGGATGCACTTACTGTTTTAGAGGTATGAACTTAACTATTGTTAAAATCTTTTGATTAGCACATGGAGACCATGCCACTTTAGGCCTGCTTTGGACCAAACTTATGTTCCACGAGTTCCCTGTCATTCCTTCCTTATAGAACTGGCAGAGAGCTGTGAATGTTTCCTTCTTGACTCCTTTGGAATGCTTTAACATTTTAACTTCCGTGCTTCCAGCACTTACTGTTCACGATAAGTTCTTATGCTTCTTCTGAAGTACATTATGGTTGTACTTTAATTTTAATCACTACCTTTTTTGACCACTTAGCTTATTTTTGATCCTCAACGCTACAAGGTGGATAGCGTGTAATATGGAGAGGCAGCATGTTCCATTGGTAAGGGCACAGGGAAATAATTCTTATTCTACCACTGGCCAACTCTATACCTTTTGGTAATTACTAAACCTTCTATATTTTAGTTGCCTCATCTATAAAATGAGTAGAATAACAATGCTTACTTTATAGGATGGTTGTGAAATACAAATGAGATAATATACATAAAATGTCTGGTAAGTAACATTTATCATTCCCCTCATCATTCAAGATTATAGAATTGGAAAGTGGGGCAGCTGGAATTCAAACCCAGACTTAACTTTCAAGCTTGTGAATGATCATGTTTTATAATAAAGGTAACAGGTAATTAAGACTCGCATTTTATATTGAGTTCTTAAAATACCTGCTGGGTACTATTCTAAACACTTGCATTATATTAACCTCTTTTATAGTCATGTCAGTCCTATGAGATTGTTAAAATATTACCACTATCCACTTTTGAAGATAGAGGAAACAAGGCCCAAAGAGATTAAGTAGCTTGCTCTAACCTCCTGGTGAAAGTGGTGAATGAACCATGTGCAGACTCAGTCACTACTATGCAGTCTTCTCAGTTACTATGTGCATCCCATTTTATGACCTGACACTTTATTTTTCAGAAGTCTTTCCTAAGTATGGCTTCAATCCAGTGTGGTGAGGGTTCCAGTGTGAGAGCCGAAGCCAAGTAAGCAAAGTTGGTGAGGAGGATGTGCCAGGGTTCTCTTAGCAAACAGAAGAAATGCTGGGGCATTCATGGATCATGAGTTTGGTCCAAAGCTGGTGATTGTCAGGGAAGGACAATTTTGAATAGTTATTGGGTCAAGTAACTGGATTGCTCTCTGACTTATCTTCATAGCTGATGCCTGACTGGGGAGTAGAGTTCTTATAAAACAATGATATTAATAATTCTCATTTATTATGACTTTATATGAATTATATAATGATGACAATTATTACATTTTTACCCATTTTTCAGATGAGAAATCTGAGGTACAGAGTTTTTAAAAATGTGTTCATTCCTATCACAATACTGGGAATGACGGAGTGGGGGTCTAAACTACAATACAAAAATTTCAGGGCTCACCTCACATCTGTGGATGTGATTTCATCACAGTAAAGCTACACAGACCATGGAAGGAGGTGTCAGAGCAGCCATATTTCAAGAAATGCTGCTTTTCCAAGCAGGTACCCTGTGGATTTTTTGAAAGAGCCAGCGTTTGACATAGAGGTGGAAAAGTTCTGCATACTTTGAGGTCTTATCAGTAAGAGAAGTAACTAGAAAGAGCTTAATAAAGTGATCCCATTGCTACTCTTCTGTCCCAAGATGATGTAGCATGAGGAAGCACTTGTTGAAAATGAAAGGACTGATTTAGAGGATCCCACTGTTGTTTGTTACTCTCCATGGCCAAGGCCACACCATCAATAAATGAGGCAATTTAAGGAAGGCATGTTCAGTCACTTGTTCTAGTTTGAATGAGAACAATTTTCTGAGTAGAAAAATTATAACAGAGGTTCTGTTATCCTTTATAAGTGGGAAATAGTGATAATTCAGTGATGTGGCTGGAGGATCATGGTTCTTTTTTCTCTGGGACTTTCTTCTGACTTAAGTGAGGGCACATCTTAATTATTAAGATAATGCTAGACCAACAAACCAGCTAGCCCTAGCATGTCATTAATAATTCTACCAGAAAAAAAACTTGAAATCATTAGCTCCCTGCAATTTCATGAGAAATAAACCTTTACCCACCAGGTGTTTTAAATAATATAGTTTAACTCCAAGATCTACATACAATGTTTTCTCTGTGCTAAATTAGTTTGCTTAAGAAAGGTCTCCAAGATAGGTAAAGGGAACAGCATTGCTCCCAAGAATCTAACCAACACAACCATTTAAAACCTAATAAAAGTGTATTTGGCTAAGAGAGCGAATAGGATCTCATTATTCTAGTGAAAGTTTAGTTTGTGTTTTATTTCACTTAGCTTCATCTTTCTATGAGTCATAAATAAGAAATGTCAAGTAATAAATATACTGTACAAAATGTACTTTAGTAATCCTAAAGGGTTTCATTACTGTGGCTATAATCTGGAAATGTAAAATATGGCTGATACTCTAGCCTTCATTTATCAACCTCAGAGTTCTTGTTTTGCTGCTGTAAATGCTATATGATTATGCTAACTACAGAATAAATTAACTTGGTGTGGTTACATGGAATTTCCTTGCTTTTGAATATCTGGAAGATAATATCAAAATCTTCAAGGAATATATCATGATATGTAATGTTGTATGGTTTTGAATTTTCTGAAAATGAAAACAATCCCTACTTCAAGGTAATAAATTGGAAAGTTACCCAAGAGAAACCAAACAGCTGTTTTTAATAACACAGGTAAATTCCAGTCATGGGAAAATCTCTATAACTGCTTGAGTTGTTGGAAAAGTCTTGTGCATTAAACAGGCCTTGGGATGAGCAGGAAAATCCTTTACACAATCTATGCACAACCCATTGTTCTTTTTAAATTTTATTTTCTGTTCTCCATAATTACCTTCTATTCAAATGAGTCTGAAGTTTCAGATGGTTAGTCCTCCAGGAATAAACTAAACACCCCTGTGTATTTTTAAAAATGCCCTTTGGTTGATCTAGAATGCCCTTTCTACAACTCCATGTAGCCATATCTTCTGTCAATTCTTAGACTAAAGGCTACCACTTCCACAAAGTGCTTTAGATCAATGATTGGCTCTTTCTCTGAAAGTTCTTTCTAAGTGGTTTACTTATTTTCATAGGTAAGAGACATTACATAAATCTTTTATTTGTTGTACCTCACGCAATTTTGATTTTTCAAACTATAATTTCTGTGAGGACAAGGCTTTTGCCTTAAACTTGTTTACATTTTCCAAATTGCTTAGCACCGTGCTTTATGTGCATTTGGGATTCAGTGAATATTTGAATAAATGAACATTGGATATATAAATGAATGAGTTTTTTTTATCAAACTGGTCTAGTCCAGCAGATCATTTGTTCACACCTGAATAGCTTCTGGTTTTGCTGCTATAAATGCCCTAGCATTATGCCAGCTATTAATGGAGTAAATTAACATAGGGAATGGATTGCTGTGATTTTGAAAAGATATCACATAGTATTCCTGGAATTGTTTAATAATGTTTGTGCCTTATATCTTGAGTATAAGTTTCACCCTTATCCTAAAAAAAAATTATAGGGGCATATATATTTTTTTCAGTGCAGATTAGTAACTTTTATTACTCCTTAACCTCATCCCACCATACTCTGCTTCTAAACTAGGACTAAAGCCTAGTTTTTCCTCTTCTTGGGAGAAGAGTGGATTATAAATACAGAGCTACATTCTTGGATCACTGTTGTCAATCCTTTCTCAGTAATACTATTCTTCTGTCCTAGAATGCTGTTCATGATCCACATTGATCCAAGTCTATCATTTTATTTATGAACGAGCTCAAAAGTTATTTCTGCCTGAATGTCTTACCTGACCAATTCCACTCCAGCCTGTTGACCTACGTACACAAAGCTCCTTCAATATTTATGTATGTCATATGTACTATATTACTTCAACATTCACAAATTTACTTATTTACTCAAGAAATGGTTACTACATTCAAGCTCCCTACTAGTCGATGTGAAGTGTGAAAGATGCCTCAGACACATCCTCAAAAATGTACAGCTTAGAAGGAGAGATTACAAACATCTGGTAGTAGTAATGAGTGCCACAGGCAGTAGTCATAAGTAGCACAAAAGAGGTGCAGATGAAACAATACAGGAGCTCAGAGGAAAGAGAACCTACTTTAAGCAGAGGCTTCTTGCAGTAGGTTATAATCTGTATGGAGTCTTATTGGGCACATAGAATTCATAGACTTTATTGCACTTACTGTTTGTGTTTGTGTGTGTGTGTGTGTGTGTGTGTGTGTGTGTGTGTGGTGAGAGAGAGAGAGAGAGAGAGAGAGAGAGAGAAAGAGAGATTTCTAGACTAGATATCAGATTCACATGAGAGGCATCAGTTTTTTCCTCACTCAAATCTAAAGCAAGGAATTAGCAAGTCTTTGTAATTCCCCAAAGAGAACCCTTTCTGCAGAGCATGTCTGAATGAAGATTATGCCAACAGCCACACAAAGAAGAAGAAGGTGGGTTTTACATCATGCATTCAGAGAGTGTCTTTCAACCCCTCCGTCCCACCACCTCCTTTTATCTATTCCCCTTCGCTGTCTCCTCAGCCTGGAGGATGGTGCTCCCTTCTTAGGATGCGCTCCTGTCTGATGTGAGAGCCTACTGACTCTGGCCTCCCACCCCTACACCTGCTGGGTGCTTTTCCTTGCTGCTTTTTCCTGTTCCCACTTCTCATGAAGCACCATTGATCTCCTGTGAATGCTCTCACTCACTGCTTAGTGCTAAATTTGTCAAAGCCCGTTTTTGTGAGTTAAGATTTGAATTCAGTGAGAGATTATAAAAACAAAATATTTGGTCATCTTATAATTATTTTATGTTCATGTTCCATCTCTCAATTGCATTCTAACTTAGGGGGTGGACCACATCTTCA